CTCTGTCACCCAGGCTGGAGTGCAGTGGCACGCTCACGGCTACCACAGCCTCAACCTGGTGGGCTCAGGCTGATCCTTCTCAGGTGAGCCTTCCAAGTAGCTGGAATTACAAGCACGTGTCACCATATGTGGCTAATTTACTGATTTATTGTGGAGACGAGGTCTCGCCAAGTTGCCCAGGCTGGTCTCGAACCCCTGGACTCAGGCAATTCTCTCGCCTCTGCCTCCCAAAGTGCTGGGATTACAGGCGTGAGCCACCACGCCCAGCTCAGAGCACCAGATTTTCAAAATAGGCCTATCACAAACTCAAACAAGTCACCCAAACTCTCTGGTGACAGATAAGGTAGCCCCAAAAGCATTCCAGCTCAAATCTGCCACAGCCACACTCCCTTGCCCATCTCCCAAGTCAGCCCCAGTAGGGGTGGGAGTCACACTATGGAAGGACAGAACTGAACAACATCCCACTCAAAGGAAAGGAACCACTCCAGTCTCTCATTTTATTATAGAACATGTTGGAGACAGGGGAGGGAAGTGGCAGAGGAGTGACATAAGCCTTGAGACATGGTAGGGGACAGGCAGAGCCATCAGACGTTTCAGAAAGCCCTGCTATCAGCACCTTGCCTGGGAACAGGACTCTCATCGTGGAGTGGCAACTTCCGGAACAGCCGAAGGGACTGCTGGGTCAGGGAGGCTCAGGGCATGGGTTACTGCCACCCATGCCTGACAAGATGCTAGAGGCACTGAGAGAGGCTGTGGCGTCTCCCTTTCCATAAAGGGCACGGAAGCACTGCCTCCCAGGACACACAAACCTGACTGAGCTTGTTAGTTCAGGCCCATGTGGCCTGGAGATCAATGGGGAATGAGACATTCTGGCTTGCAAGGCCTCCTTTCCACTGTAGAGGAAAACAGTAGAGAGAGGTGGGGACAGTACAAGTCAAACACCCTCAAATCAAGACACAGGCTTTGGAGTCACATGTGGGTTTGAATCTCAACTCTATCACACTGACTAGCCTCGGGCAAGTCACTTTGCTTCCCTGAGACTCAAGTTTCTTCATCTACAAAATTGGGAAAATTAACGTCCTCTCACAGGCTTGTAGTGAGGATTAAATGAGAAAACACATATAATACAGTAAGTCTTCTACATATGAATCTTCAAGTTATGAGTTTTAATGATGCACACCTGCATTCTTTTATGTATTTTCTCTCCACCAGGTGTCAGTATGGCCTGTGAAATACATACAGTACTATACAGTCAATTGTGTTAGTTGGGTACCTAGGCTAACTTTGTTGGACTTAAATAGAACTTACAAACACGCTCTCAGAACTCGTTCACATGTTGAGGACTTTCTGTATTAACCAAGTGCTTCAGATAGAGAAGCTCTGGATAACTGGTTGCTGCTCTTATACTTGATACAAAACTGAGAACAAGGGGGGCGCAGTGACTCACGCCTGTAATCCCAGTACTTTGGGAAGCAGAGGTCAGAGGACTGCGGGAACCCAGGGTTTCGAGACCAGCCTGGGCAACTTGGCAAGAACGCCCTTCTACAATAAATCAACAAACTAGCCAGGCGTGGTGGCATGCACCTGTGGTTCCAGCTACTTGGAAGGCTGAGGCAGAAGGATCGCCTGAGCTCAACAGGTCGAGGGCTGTGGTGGCCGTGAGCATGCCTCTGCACTCCAGCCTGGGCAACAGAGTGAGACTCTGACTCAAAAAAAACCCCAACAACAACAAAAAAACACAACTGGGAACAAGACGGTTGAGGAAGGCTCAGCAGATATGCCCGTGATAGGCAGGAGGACTCCACGGACGGCAGGCCTGGAGGGCACCTGAGGAAATGTCTACCCTCCTTCCTCTGCCAGGTTTAAAAGTGAGCTCTAGTGGGACAAGGGTCAGAGGAGAGAACCAGGGGTGTGGGGGTGCTGACTCCAAGGCCTTAATTAAACAAAGCCCAAGGGTGCCTTGCAGAGGACAGGATGGAGCTGGGGTACGTTGATCCTGTGAGGACTATTTTTAAAAAGTTGGAAAAGGAGAAGGAAGAGAGAAGTACTTCTTCCCATGATGCAACTGCAGACATCGAGCTGGACCCATCTAGGATTTCAGACCCAGCTGTCATGGGGCTGCTGCTGGGGGAAGCCGTGACCCCTTCTTTCTCCTCAGAACTGGGGTTACAAAAATACCTGTGAGAAAGTTCACATGAAAACTTTTCTGCATGTATAAAAAAGAGACTGGCCATGGTCAATGGCTCAGGATGTGGGCCAGAGCGGCTAAGGGGAGTGTCAGCCACCCAACAGTAGCCAAGCAGGTCTGGGACCCCTGGTGGCTGGGACGGTGCTGGAGCAGGCTGTTTTCTCTGGCAGGGCTGTACTTCGGCGGAGTCAGGTCTGAGGGGCAGGTGAGACAGGAGCACTGGCGCCAGCGGTCCTGCCATAACCCTGTGCTGGGGTGGGCGGTGGGAGTGCTTTGGGCCCGGGTGTCAGGAACTCCCCAGTGACCCCTTTGCTAGAGGCAGAGCCCACTTCACAGTAAACTTCCCCAGACTGTAGGCTCCAGCAGGTCCCAAAACAGGTTCTGGGAGCAACGGTTAGGTCAGTTTAGGGCAGTGGAGTGGGCCAGGGAGCCTCAGGGGGTAGGTACTACAGGATCTCCACTTCTGAAGCAGGCGTCTGCCTCCTGCGGAGACTGACCCCAGCTGGGGACTCAGGCACAGGGCCGCCCAGGGTATGGCCGGGAAAGAAGACTGGACAAACAGGAGCGCTGCTCTGGCAGCCTGCCCACCCTGGCCGGGGCTTCTTGATGCTGCCTTTGGGAGGGGGAGAAGGTAACCAGAAGCAGCGGCCCGGTCTTCCTGGCCCGCCCCTCCTTCCTGTTCTTCACTCCACAAGGCCATGGACTATGCCGGCTGGATGAGGCCCGGGGAGATCACCTGGTCCTTGACTGGGGGGGTCCCAGGCAGCTTTCAGAGCCTGGTGGGCAGGGAAGAGCCCGTGGTGGCAGCCAGAGATAGAGGTTCCTCCACCCATCAGCCCAGGTACCCCCTTGTCTACCCACCACCCTGGGGCAAAGCCAGGATGGCCACATTCAGTGGACCTTAGACCCACAAGACAGCCTAGGAGTGGGGGGGACAGGCAGTGTCTGAACTCCAAAATGAGCTGAAGCCCACTCTGGCTCTGGGCTGGGAGGGCCTGTCTATCAGCTCCCCCATCCAGCCTGCTTCCCTCTTCCCCACCAGCAGGCACACTATGACCGGAGGAGGGGCAGGCCACGCCGGAGTCCCTCCTTCAGGAACTGCATGTAGGTGGCCGTGGACGGGTCCTCAAAGGGGGACGAGAAGCTGAAGACGTTGTTCTCGATGTCCTCAGGCTTCATGGAGGTGATGTCCAGGAAGTAGTTGGCATTGATGTGGTGGACCTGGGGGAAGGGCTGGGTGAGGAGGGCGGGGTTCCCCAGTCCCTGTACACCCTCTGCCCCATGGCTGCCCATGTGTCTCGAGAGAAGTGACCCCTCTTGAGCCTTGACCGTCCTTGCCTGCGGAGGACGGCACACAAGTTGTGCTGCTGTGAGCACTCTCCAGAGCCTGCCAGTCCCCAGGCCGGCTGCTCTCTCCTGCCTCTGTCCACCCTAGGCCCTCCGACTAGGGAGTGACCTCAACCACTGGGCAAAAACCTAGCACCTTTCAGCGTAACCTTTTCCACCACCTCTCTGTCCCTGCCCCCACAGGTGACCTCTCTCCTCTTCTCCCATGACCCGAGCTCCATGTGCACTTCTGTCACAAAGCCTCACCCTGCCCTGTCCTTCACTGTACCTCGTGAGCTCTCTAAGGGCAAGGTCGTGACTTTATCTCTGGGCAAAGAGCCTGTCACAGGGTAGGTGCCCAGTAAATGGGCAAATGAGCGAATGGATGAGTGAACAATGAATCAACGGGTGAGTGGAAGAACGCGTGCCCACCAGAGCCCCCGGCAGGGTCCTATCTGCTTGCCTCCCTGACCCCAAGCCCTGGCTCTACTGCAGTGGCAGCCAGTGGACCTCTGCTCCCTGCCAGGCTCTCCCTGCTGGGTCCCTCCGCCCCTGGCTCCCCGACACCATCTCCTCACCCTGTGCCTGGGACAGGAGATGCCTCCTGCCTGGTGCCCTTTCTGCTCCCTCAAGCCCTCACTGGAAGCCTCTCCCAGGCCATTGCCCGCTCCTGCTCCTGGGCTGTTCCCACCCTAAGATCTTGCAGAAGCCAACTGCCCTCCTCCAGCCGAGTCCCAAGCTACCCATCCTTGGGGCTGAAAGGATCAGGGGTAGCTCATCAGAAGAGGCTCATAGGCAGACCTAGGGCCAAGACAAACTTCATTTTTTTATTTTTAGAGACAGTTCTTGCTCTATCACCCAAGCTGAGTGCCATGGTACAATCACAGTTCACTGCAGCTTCAAACTCCTAGGCTCAAGCCATCTTTCGCCTCAGCCTCCTGAGTAGCTGGGATTACAGGCATGTGCCACCATGTCTGGCTAACTTTTTTTTTTTCGTCTTTTATAGAGATGGATCTCACTATGTTGCCCAGGCTGGTCTCAAACTCCTGGCCTCAAGTGATCCTCTGGTCTAAGCCTTCCAAATTTCTGGGATTACAGGCGTGGACCACTGTGCCTGGTCCAGTTACAGCATTTCTTTTTTCTTTTTTTTAGAGTCAGAGTCTTACTCTGTCGCCCAGGCTGGAGTGCAGTGGCATGCTCACGGCCACTGCAGCCCTGACTTGCTGGGCTCAGGGGATCCTTCCACCTCAGACTTCCAAGTAGCTGGAACTATAGGCACATGCTACCATGCCCGGATTATTGATTTATTATAGAGACAAGGTCTCACCAAGTTGCCAGGCTGGTCTTGAACCCCTGAGCTTAGGCAATCCTCTCGCCTTGGCCTCTCAAAGTGCTGGGATTACAGGCTTGAGCCACTGCACCCAGGCTCTGCATTTCTTGTCTGCAACTTTTGCCAAGCCTCTGGCCCTTTTTGAGCACCACTTTCCTTGTCTGTAAGAGGGGCATTTGTAAAGTCCATCTCCAAAGCTGTTATTGAGGCCCATTGGGAGGACACGATGAGTGCCATGTGAGGACACGATGAGTGCCATGTAAGGACTCTTAGAGAGAGGTAGGGTCTTGAACCTTGGCTCAGACCAAAACCCTCCCCTGGTCCTCTCTGTCACAACACTGGCTCCTCCCTCCCCTTCCATCCCAGGGCTGGCTGCAGTGGTCCAAGGTGAGCCTTCTCTGCCACCCATGTTTCTGCCCACGGAGTCCGCTTCACTTGGGGCTGTGCTGACTCTGCTATGGGATGATCCTTGCTGCTGCACAGTCCCTAAGTGCAACACCTGCATCCCACTTCCTGTTTACATGTGAGGATAACTGATGCTGAGGCTGGTTACGAGACAGGCTCGAGGCATCCTAGACAGAAAGTGGGAGAGCCAGACCCAAAGCCCAAAGATGCCTGCGTGTCCACGCCCTCTGTGTGCTGCTCCTCAGTGCTTGGCAGGTGGGGATGGGTGGTGGGGGTGCCTACCACAGTGCCATTGGGCAAGCAGATCATCATCTCCACGGGGAAGCTGTACTTCTCCAGGTGCAGGTCAGCCAGCTTCTTGTGGGACGGGTTCTTCTGGCTGTTCTGTGGGGACAGTCGGGCACGCTCCTGAGGCCTCAGCCTCAGTACAGTTCCAGGGCCCCGTAGCATTGTTCCCGCCCACCTGCCTGCTCACCTGCAGGTCCTCTAGCTCCTTCACCAGGGACCAGGTGCTGATGAAGCTCTCATTGAGGAGGGCGAGGATGGGCGAACTTTCCAGGACAGTCTCCCGGAGAGTCCGCCCAGAACCTTTCCGGATGAGGAAAAGGCCAGAAGAGTGAGGTGCCCCTGCATGTCTTACTGGGGTTTTCAATCAGCAATAATCCTGCTTTGGGAAAACCTCATGGGTTGTAGAATGGTCTCTATATCCAGGTAAGATAAGAGATTCAAAGAGCCTGCCACAGAGCAGGTGCTAAATAAATGGTAGCTGGAATTAACAACCATAATATCCTGGCATCCTGGGCTAAGACTGGGGAGGGATTCCACCTGGCCCAGGACATGTAGACAGTGACAGCTTCTTAAATCCACTGAACTTCCTGTGCCCCCGGGCTTTTGCACAAACTGTTCCTCTACCTGGAACACTCTTCCTCCTGTCACTTTACAAACTTCTAGTCATCATTCACAGCCTCAGCTTAAATGTCACTTTCTCCAAGAAGTCTTCCCTGACTCCTCAGTTATACACTCTTGGTGACCTCTGGACATTGCCTGGTATAACACTCACCACGCTTGTACTTATCATTCAGTGTTGGCCCTGTGCACCACACTGTGTGCTCCCAGAGAGCAGGGACCCCTTCTGACGTCCTCACTGTGGGACTCCAGCACCTACCCTACTGCTGCAGTGTCTGCTGCTTGACTGGATGAGGGCGGGGCACTGTCTTACTCATCTTTGTGCCCGCTGCTGGATACCCGAAGAACTTTGCATCTAACAGGCCTTTGGTGAATTTTCTGAAAAAGTTAACCCAGCCCAACCCCCAGCACTATTTTCATTCCTGCTTGTATATGATTATTATTATTTTTTAGATTAGAAAGTGTAGTTTACTTAGAAAGTAAATTAGAGAGAAAGAGAGAGGAGATTCACCTCCCCAAGGCAGGGGAGGGGGCCAAAGCCAGGAAACATGACAACGGCCATAGCTCCAAGAGCACATGTGTATGATCCTTTACAGACTACAAGGCACTTTCATTTTCACAACTCTGAGAGGTATGTGTCCTTCTGCTGTTGGGAAAACGGAGGCTTAGCGAAGGAAAGGCACTTGGTCAAGGTTACCAAGTTGAAAACGGCTGAGCTTGAACCAGGCTGCCAAGACCCTTTCTGCAGCATCTGGTAGCTTCCTCTGGGCTCAGCACAGAAACCTCCCAAACCTTTGCTCCACGCCCTTGCCCTGGCTCGGTGCCTCCTTTACCACGCAAGGCATGACAACCCTCCCCTTCCCGTTAGAGCTGCTGGTCCCCTCACCTCAGCAGGACTGGTCGTCCAGGGCCCCCCACAGCAGGATCGAGTGTACCAGCTTGTTCTCAGCCTGGGCTCGGTCGAAGGCCTCGGTGAAAGGCAGGTAGGAGACCTGGGCCAACCGAGACACAGTGAAGCTACTGCGTGCAGCCGGGATCCCCCTTGGGCTGTGAGTATGCAGTGTGTGTACGTGTGTCGGTGTGCATGCTTGTGTGTGTACATGTGCGTTTCATATATATGTTTGCGTGTTTATGTTTGTGTGTGTGTCTGTGTGTAGGATGTGTGTATGTATGTTTGTATATGCGTGTATATGTCTGTGTGTGGATGTACATGTTTGTGGGGGGTATGTGTGTACATTTGTATATATGTGTGTACATGTCTGTAGGTCTGAGTGTCTCTGAGTATGTTTGTGTGTATATGTGTGTGTATACACTGTGTATGCATGTGAAGGGGTGCTGCTGAGCCAGGAGAAACCTCCAAGTCCTGGATGGCAGAGGGAGGCCCCGGTGCAGGTTGGGCCCTCCTGCTGCCCCCCAGCGCCCAGCCTCGGCCCACACAGTCTGCCCCGGACTTCAGCCCTGATGGCCTCACCTTCTTGAAGGGGTACATGGCCACCTCCAGGCGCCTGGCAGCCTCCTCCCAGTTCAGCTCCTGCTGCCATTTGATCTCCTCAAACACAAACTGGAGGGGCTCCCCCGAGGGCAGTCGGCTGTCTATCACGTTGCCGTCCTCGTCCAGGATCACAGAGGGCACCGAGGGGCCCACGGCCTCCAGCTCCATCTGGGCCAGAGGACATGGTGGAGGAGTCTCAGAGTCGGCTGGGAATCCCCAAGGGGTCTGAGGCCCTTGGGATACTCCCCTCATCGTAGAGGGGAGGAGACAGGCCCGTGGAAGGGCAGCCCTGCAGGTGGGCTGACCTGGCAGGAGCCCCGTGTGCTCACCTGGGGTATGTAGCCGATGTCCACCTCCATGTTGCTGCTCTCACCGGCCCCATACAGCCACTCCATGTCCACATTCAGGGACCTGGGGGCGGCCAGGGCACAGCAGCATCACCACGAAAGCCACACACAACCGCCCCTCTTCACGGATGAAGACACTGAGGCTCTGCAAGGTGGCCTCCATTCTTAGAGCCCCTGGGATTCTGATGGCAGAGCTGGGGCCCTCCTCTTCCCAGGCTGCCTCTTCCTAAAGCACTGGAACCTCATAACTGTCCACTGGCTTAGGCCTCACAGTTCATGAAAGGCATTTGCAGCCACGTCCCAGGTACTGAGCACGACCCTTCGAGGCACAGAGATGGCCAGTGCCGCGCCACAGGACAAAGAGTGGGGCAGGAATGAAAACGGGGCATGGCATGGTCCCCGCACCCCTTCTTCCTCTCCAGCCTCCGGCAGACAGCAGACCCATCTGCAGATCTGCCACATGGGGGAGCCCAAGGACTGACAACCAACCACTCCACAGCAGAAGCAGCGGCGCGGGCAAGCGAGCTGGTGTCCTCAGAGGGGCCAGCAGTCCCTGTGGTCTCAGACACAGGCCCAGGAGCAGCTGGTCTGGGGCTGGTCACTGCCCCTCTGTGTCTCATGCGGTCCAGGCCCCCCTCCTCAACAGCCCTGGGTTGGAGGCAGGTGTGCTCAGACTGAGCTGATAGATGGCAGGTGCCCTTTGCTGAGGGGCAGAGAAAGGGCAGAGCACATATCCCTTCCATTTTCCCTTTGGCCTGGGATAGCCCTGCCCTCCTCTCCATGGAGGGAGAGAAGCCACTCGCATGGCTGGGGACAACTTTCTCCTCCCAGGCTAGCCCAACCGTCCCCTAGCTCCTGCCCTGTGGGTGAAACAGGCCAGGAGTCACTCTCTCATCTGGCAGACGAGGAAACCAAGGCCCAGAAAGGGCCAAGGCCTTGCCCACAGCCATGCAGTCCATTGGTGCCATGGCTGAGACTTGCCTATGTAGACCTCCCAGCTCCTAGGCCAGGTCTGTCCCAGGACAGGGGCCACTCAGGCCCACTAGGTGACCACTTGCTATCAGGGAGGAGTCTGGGAAAACTTGAAGCCTCCTGGGTCCCCATCTCTGCTGACAGGTGGCTCTCCTGAGCAGGCAGGCAGGTGGCTGGCACAGAGCAGTCTGCATGTGCTGTTCCTTCTGCCTGGCTAAACCCTCTCACCCCCTAGTCTCTGCTTAGATGTCACTTTCTCTGGGAAGCCTTCCTGGACTCTAGCCAGCTGGGCCCCCGCCCAGCCCCTTGCCTTCCCCTGGGTGGCCTGAGCAGGCTGTGGTTATAGGTCTGTCCGGGCCTGTCAACAGTATGAGGGAGGGGAGGCACAGCCTTCAGGGAGGGCCCACTGGCTGCTGCACCAGGTCCCAGATGCAGGCTGGGAAAGGCTGCTGGACGATCGTGAGCCCCTTGCCTGCCTTGCGCTGCCTGCTCATGGGTCAGCATCACGGGGCCAGAGGAAAAGGCAGAGACAGAGGAGCCCTGCTTCTGAGCTCCTGGAGCTGCGGGACAAGACAGACTGCAGCAGGTGCTGAGGCTGGGCCAGGGCCAAAGGTCCCACCTGTGGTTGGGTACGAAGAGCCGGAAGTTGCGGACGTGGGTGGCATCTTTGGAGAGGATGATGTGGCCGGTGAACTGGCCAGGGGAGAACCAGAAGGGGAAGTCAGGTGGCTCGCTGAGCTGGAACTCGGCGTGGATCCTGGGGGAGGGGGTCTGCTGAGCCAGAGCTGCCACCTTCTCCCTCAAGGCCTGAGAGCCTGCAGTCAGACTGATGTGTGGGGGAGAGGACCGAGCAGGGGAGGAGGTGTGGCCTGGAGCAGCCATGAGGCTCTCCAAATGCAGATTGTACTCCAGGCCCAGTTCATGGCTCCTTCTCCAGAGCTCCCAAGGCTCCTGGAGGGTGTGTGTGACCCGGCACCCCAGAGTCCTTCTGTGTGGATGACCAGTCCATGCCTAGCAAGTTCTAGATTTTCACACTGAACCCTCACATGCCCATGAGGAAGTCATCACTGCCTGGATCCACAAAAAGATGGAGCTCAGAGAGCCCATGCTGCTAGCCTAAGACCATGGGCGGGGGGAAGAGGTAGATGGAGTCTCCAGCCGGGCCTCCTCCCCAGTGCTGGGCCTCTGTGCTGCCCGGAAGTCCCACTCACCGGAACATCACAGTGTAGTAGAAGTTGCTGACAGCTGTCAGGCAGGCTACGGCCCCCTGAGGGGCAAAGCGGGTCTTCACGAAGGGCCGTGGGTGGAACATGCTCAGAAGTCGGTGGATGATGACCTGGGGATGGCAGTGGAGACTGGGCTGGCTTGCTGATTGCTGCTTCTGGGGTGAGAGGGCCAGATCTGCAGGGTGGGGGTCAGCCCCAGGGCTAGGCTGGAACACTTGGGAGGGGCAGGCCCAAAGGGAGGCAGAAGAGCAGGCGGGGCAGGCCTGGCACTGGGGTCCAGTGCAGATGGGGCCCCAGGTTACACAGTTGCCCTCACCTCCTTGCCCTTGGGCGGAGGCGGGTAGAAGCGGTTGTTGGACAAGTAGCCGGTAAAGACGCTCAGCTCGCTGGGGATGATCCACCAGGGCTCACCCAGCTCCTGGCCTGGAGGTGGAAGGAAGGGCTGGAAGTGGCGGGCGGCAAACATGGCACAGGGCGAGGCTGCGGTCGTCCAGTTGCGGAGGCCAGACAGGGCGAGGCGGGAGACCTGGGGCCGGGGAAGTTCGAAGCTCTGGGATCTGAGAACCACGACTTTGAGGTGCCTGTCCCATGTGTGGGTGGAGGTCTCCCTGGAGCCCTGAGTCAGCTCACAGGTCCAGGGAGCAGAGGGACCCCAGGGAGGAACCCACCCCAGTGACGGCCACAACTTGGCAACATCCTGCCAGAGCTGGGCTTGTCTCACCCTCTAGGCCCCAGCCCCAGAAGCAGAGAAGCAGTGTCCTGCAGTTCACTGGGCGCAACCCTGTCAGAGCAGGGAGCTGAAACAGGGGCGGGAATCTGTGCCTCACACAGTCCTGCCTCCACCCGCTGCATAAGCAGGCAGACCAACTGCGGGTGCCACTGACCTGCCCTGGCTTCCTGGCCCCTCCTCCAGCCTTGCTCTCTGCTCCCTAATCCCCCTCTAAGTCTCTCCCCAGGCCTGACGCCCCATGGACAAGCTCAGAATTTGGGTCTGTAGCTAAGTCTGATAAAGGAGATGAGTAATCATGTTTTGGATGAATCTGTAGGGTCAAGAGCAAGATGAGACCAGAGAAAAAGGAAGGCTGTCCCAGAGTGGGCCCTGCCCATGTGCAGCCTGTTCCACCCTGGCAGGGCATCACAGCAAAAGGCCTTCCCTAAGCCTGTGTCCTCAGCAAGGATCCATCTCACCACAGTCTGATGAGCTGATGGGCAGGAGGTTCAGTAATCACAGTGCTCTCTATACAATGGCCAGTCCGGAGCCCAGGCTTGGTGGGAGGTGGGAGGAAAGAGGTGTGGGAGCTCCCAGAGCGGGATGTGGGTTTCACAGGCAGGTTCCTGAAGCAGAGCTGGCTGTGCAGGGCCAGGCAGAGCCTGCTGGCCCATGGTCCTGCTCACAGCTGGCCTCCCTGCAGGGAGCTGCTGGGAAGGGTGCTGGGCATGGCAGGGCTCTATCAGGGGGCTGGGCTGGGGTGCTGCTCCTGCCCCGCCTTCCCTGTGAGTGCCCTGGCCACCTGTCCACCCAGTTCTGGCTGGTCTGTGGGGATCCATCTACTCTCACCGTCAGACTCACCCCCACCTCGGATCTTTCCGTGGAGGGTCAAACCCGAGTTTCCAGCCACTTTCTGGACTCTCCCCTGGATGTCCCGACACTTCAGCTTCAACATGTCCAAACTGACCTCATTATGTCCCCTCGGACACGTCCCCACCTATAGTCTCCATCTGGGCAAGCAGCCTCCATGCCTCTGGTCACCAGCCAGAAGCCTGAGTCACCCCCACTCCTCACCATGTAGCCAGGCCCTGCCCTTTCCTTTCCCAGCCTACTCCAGGCTGCCCTGATTCCATCACCACTACCCTCCCCACTCTAGGAACTGGTCTCCTTGCCTCTTACTTTTCCCTATGCCACCTCTGGCCCCCACCCCCAGCTCCACCCTGGAAAGCCCAGATCTAATGAGGAAATTCTCTTATTTAAGAATCTGCTACTGGCCAGGTGTGGTGGTACATGCCTATAGTCTCAGCTACTTTGGAGGTTGAGGCTACAGGATCACTTGAGCTCATGAGTTCGAGGCTGCTGTGAGCTATGATTGCACCACTGCACTCCAACCTGGGCAACAGAGTGAGACCTTATCTCTTTTTTAAATTTTTTTATTTTTTGAGTTGGAGTCTCACTCTGTCGCCCAGATTGGAGGGCAGTGGCCACTCCCAGCCACCGCAGCCTCGACCTGCTGGGCTCCGGTGATCCTCCTGCCTCAGCCTTCCAAGTAGCTGAAACTATAGGCATGCGCTACCACGCCTGGCTCATTTTGATTTATTATAGAGATGAGGTCTGCCAAATTGCCCAGGCGGGTCTCGAACCCACGAGCTCAGGCAATTCACTCACCTCAGCCTCCCAAAGGCACGGGATTACAGGCTGAGCCACCGAGCCCAGTGAGACCTTATCTCTTAAAAAAAAAAAAGCCATTTAAAAATAAAAACGGGCCAGACTATTTAATCCCAGTACTTTGGGAGCCCGCGGGTTCGAGACCAGACCAGGCAACTTGGTGAGGCCTCATCTCTACAACAAATCAAAAATTAGCTGGGTGTGGTAGCGCACGCCTATAGTTCTGGCTACTTGGAAGGCTAAGGCAGAAGGATCACTGGAGCCCAGTAGGTCAATGCTGGTGTGGCCGTGAGTGAGCCACTGCACTACAGCCTGGGCAACAGAGTGAGATTCCAACTCAAAAATAAATAAGTAAATAACAAAATAAATAAATAAATAAGGCCATTGCCTTGTTAAATTATGGTATGGCCACGTGCTCTTTGAGCTATGGCCAGGCCGTGTTTTCTTAAGCTTTGGCCCCCTACTCTATCTTGGGGAGATGAATCTCCTCTTTCTCTCTAATTTAGTTCTAAATAAACTATATTTTTAGACCGGGTGTGGTGGCTTAAGCCTGTAATCCCAGCACTTTGGGAGGCCAAGGCAAGAGGACTGCCTGAGCCCAGGGGTCGAGACCAGCCTGGGCAACACGGCAAGGTCTCGCCTCTTAAGAAAATAAATAATAAAATAAAATAAATAAATTATATTTTCTTTTTTCTTTTTTTTTTTTGGGTTGGAGTCTCACTCTGTCACCCAGACTGGAGGGCAGTGGCCGCTCCTAGCCACCGCAGCCTTGACCCGCTGGTCTCCGGTGATCCTTCCGCCTCAGCCTTCCAAGTACAGGCATGTGCTACCACGCCCGGCTGATTTTTTTTGATTTATTGTAGAGATGAGGTCTCACTGCCCAGGCAGGTCTCGAACCCGTGGGCTCAGGCAATCCACTAACCTCAGCCTCCCAAAGGCGCGGGATTACAGGCTGAGCCACCGAGCCCGGCTAAACTATATTTTCTAATCTAACTTCTATGTAATTCTTGGCATCTTTCTCACAGCACTGGGTAGCACACCAGACACCCACACCCCTGGTGGGCCTGCCCTAAGATTCTGGAAGCCCCGCTGAGAGCAGGACCTAATAGTGATTTTAATTTTTTTTCTGAGTCTGAGTCTCACTCAAAAAATAAATAAATAAATAAAATAAGTAAATAAATACAAATCTGCTATGGTGTTTTCCTGCTGCAGAATGAGAGTCAAGGCAGGCAACCAGGTCCTTGGTGGTCTGGCGACTTCTCTCCCAGCCCTCCTGAACAGGATGCCCCCACATGGGTCTGTGTGCCCTGGGTCCAGCCACACCAGCAATGTGGCCTCAGGTGACTGGCCTGGCACTTCCTGCCTTCAGGCCTTTGTTCTTGCTGAAGTGCCTTTCCACTGGGAGGAAAAGGCTGAGTAGGTGCAGGCTGGGTAAAGAGAAACAGTGTTCTGGCAGAGGGAAGAGCATATGAGGAGGCTCAGAGCTGGGAGAGAGCCAGCGATCTGGAGGAAAAGAAGGATGTCTGGTGTGCTGGAAGAGAGAAGGCCCACGGGAGAGGACAGGAGCATGCAGGGGGCAGCGGGGCCTGTGCTGGGCTCCAGCCCTGTCCCCAGGGCCAAGGGCGAGCAGGCTGGCAAGGGCAGCATCTGTCAGCCTCCCGCTCC